AAAATGGTGCACTGAGTGCCAAAACTGCCAAAGATGCATGAAAGAAGATTTCAATTGTTATTTTAACCCACAAGCATGCATTAGTACCAAAATTTCCCCCAAAGCACACATGCTAATACCTCCACCCACTTGTCTGAAATGAGATACTTCCAATAAGCATTTCAAATGTGTTTGGAGTCCATTTCAAAGAATTCCCAAACAAATTATTTCTCTGTCATTTTTTATGAATCTCTGAATCAACTAAATGATCATTTCATTGCAGCTTTCGTGGTTTTTCTGACAGATCGCATTATTAATGGCATGAGAACACATCTACTGCAGTGCAGCACTGACAAAAATGATTGCAGAAGTTGTTTGAATTTGCTGAGCCACCGCTGTGGCACTATAGCCCTCTGGTGGTTAAATGTAGAGCACTGCATGTGACTAGGTTAAAAAAAAACACATCATCTTTCAGTATTTAATAACATGTGTGTGAATATTCGTGTATTGTTCTTTTTGCTTCAGGTCCAATCAGCAGCATCCTGGTGAACAAATATGGGAGTCGGCCGGTTATGATGGCAGGAGGATGCCTTTCTGGATTGGGGCTTATTGCTGCCTCTTTCTGCAATTCTGTTGAAGCACTGTACTTTTGCATTGGTGTGGTGGGAGGTACCTAATTTTAACTTTCTATATTTTAAAGTTTGGTCATGACTGATCAATTTTTTTCACTGTGCACTGTTGCCATCTAGTGTTCGTCAAAAATAAAACACCCGGGATGACTGTGAATCTCCAAACACTATTTTAAGCTCAGACCTTTCTTTTTATTCAGTTGCACATGTTTTAATTGATTCTTTCAGGTTTGGGATTGGCCTTCAACCTCAACCCTGCCCTCACTATGATTGGAAAATACTTCTACAACAAGCGGCCAATTGCTAACGGGATTGCCATGGCCGGCAGCCCTGTCTTTCTCTCTACTTTGGCTCCCCTTAACACCTGGTTCTTTGACCGGTTTGGCTGGAGAGGGAGTTTTCTGATCCTGGGTGGCCTGCTCTTCAATTGCTGTGTCGCCGGTTCCCTCATGCGACCTATAGGACCAAAACCCAAACCTCCAGAGAAGACTACTGAGAGGAGGACTGTGGTGCAAACCATTAACAGCTTCATCGATCTTTCTTTGTTCAAGCACCGTGGCTTTTTGCTCTACATCGTGGGCAATGTTATCATGTTTTTTGGTCTCTTCGCACCACTGGTGTTCCTCTCCAATTATGCCAAGAGTAAAGATATCCCGAGAGAGAAGGCTGCTTTTTTACTGTCTGTGCTGGCTTTTGTTGACATGGTTGCCCGGCCCTCAATGGGCATTGTGGCCAACACCAAGTGGGTCCGGCCCAGAATACAGTACTTCTTCGCTGCCTCAGTGCTGTACAATGGTGTGTGTCATGTTCTAGCTCCAATATCAGTAGACTACAAAGGCTTTGTTATTTATGCCATCTTCTTCGGGTTTGCTTTTGGCTGGCTGAGCTCAGTGCTGTTTGAGACCCTAATGGATCTAGTGGGAGCCCAGCGCTTCTCCAGTGCTGTTGGGCTGGTCACTATTGTGGAGTGTGGTCCTGTATTGTTAGGGCCCCCATTGCTTGGTGAGTACATCGCACATCATGAGAAAAAAATGATATATTACTTTGTAGTTTACCAAAGCAACAATGAAAAAAATGGCTTTTTTTGTCCCTACAGGAAGGTTCAAAGACATCTACCACGATTACAAGTACACGTACCAGGGCTGCGGAATCCTCCTCATTGTCTCCAGCGTCTTCCTGTTTGCGGGAATGGGACTGAACTATCGACTGCTCAACAAGGAGAAAAAAGAGGAAGAGAGGAGGGGCAGGATGGGAGTTAGAGAACAAAAGTCCAACAGGGACAATGCCGCCAAAGAGGTGGCAGAGGCTAGGAACACAGAAGACACTGTGTAATGTTCTGCACCATGTCAGCTTACTTATTTGTTCAATTCTATGTCATCAGAGAGGTGGATATTCATGAAAAATAGATGCTTCTGTGAAACAGGCCACACCAACATTCCTCTTCTGTTTCATAATGCATTGTTTTTGAAGACTACCACAGAAATCATAGTCTCACTTGCAGTTCACTTTGAAATATGTGCACACCTATTAAAGCCCTTTACACTCTAATAAACAATCCACATGAAATACCTCTTATATTCGTATTGAGAATGGTAAATGTGTTTATTAGACTGCTAGTCTTTTATTTTACTTATGGGAGTCGAGTTATTCACAATAACTCTTCTTTAATTTTGCTGGAGCACATTATATATAGTATTTTAACCTTCTAAGATGTACTGGTTATTTTGCACCAGTGCAGAGCTTTATTTTTCAAAAGAGACATTTTCTCTGTCAAAGTGTGTAATTACAGTTTGCACAGCAATTTGCTTGCCACGCCATCTCTCAAACATTTCATTTATAAAAACATTTTTCTCTTTTCAAAGACCTGACAGCACAGTGCATTTTTTTTAGGGTTTGCAAACATCCTTCTTGTCACTATAATGAGGTTTATTCCACAAATATATTAATGCTAATTTTCAATTTCTCTTTGAAATGTGTTTTGCTGGTCCATTTTTAATACTGGATTATGTCAGTTATAAATAATTCTGAGGACATTAAAACCTTTTGCATAGCTTTGTGTGTTAACATGATAGGAAAATGTGCCCTGACTGCAAGTTACTACATACATGTGTATATACATATATATATATGTGTGTGTGTGTGTGTGTGTGTATATATATATATATATATATATATATATATATATATGCTATACAGACATGAAAGACATGAGAAAGTCAAATAAATGACACTTTATTTGACAACAATATCCAAGTCTACTGTGTTTTGTGCTTCTCAAAAATCAGAGACAGGAAAAGGTTAGCTCTTTAAAGATGTGCTGACAGTATTTGTTCAAAAGTGACAACATAATATAGCATGTTAGATTATGTTAGATGAAGAACATACATTATTAGGTTTCCTGTACAGGCATTTATTAAGACAAATGTCTGTACAGCACTGAGTCAGACTGTCAAATTATGCTCTTGCCTCCTCACACAGAGCCAAGTGGCCTTAATTAGAATATTGGCGAGACTGTAATAACTTCTGATTATTTTTTCACTGATTGAACACTGTAGTCTTAACATGTGCCAAACCGATTATGTGGTCGTGATGGTTTCAAAGACACAGATTAGTGCAATGCTGCTCTCCCTATTAAACAGTGGCATTCAACCAGCAGAACCAACACATCTCTGTGCTAAAGGCCACCTGTGAATGAGATTCTACATGCATCACCTTTCCCCCTTGTCCAATTAGTGTATCTCTGCTAATAAGAGCTCATTTGTAGTAATTGTAAAACAAACGTGAGGAGACACATATTGTGCTTTTAAACTCAGCAAATGCCTTTATATATATATACTGGGTAATGAGAAAGGGCTGCAAGGTGGCGCAGCTGGTAGCACTGTTGCCTCACAGGAAGAAGGTCACTGGTTTGCGTCCCGGTGAGGACACCCGGGATCTTTCTGCATGGAGTCTCCATGTTTTCCCCGTGCAGCGTGGGTTCTCTCCAGGTTCTCTGGCTTCCTCCCACACAGTCCAAAAACATGTTGAGGTTAACTGATGACTGTAAATTGTCCCTAGGTGTGAATTTGAGTGTGTTTGCAAGGTTAGTATCTTGCTTTGGAGGAAAGCGTTCAGAATTAAAATGTGCACCTGAACTATTATTGTCCTTTATTTGGGTTTTTATTATTATTATTATTATTATTATTATTATTATTATTATACAGGCAAAAGTACAGACACATGCAGAAAAGACATGAATTGGTGCATAAAAATGCCCCAGAATTCAACTATTTGACACTCAAAACATCTCAAAAACCCCCAGACCTCCTGTTTAATTAGCTTCCTGCAATGTTCAAACAAAACCTAGAGTTTACTTGAGGTTTCATTGGTTTTAAGTCCCAAATTCAAATAGTTTTTTGACCTGATGGTTGAAGGGTTATGCTGTCAGAGCCACTGCACTGCAGTGAATAAAGAATATACAGCAGTGACTGCAGTATATCCTTTATTTTATTTATAGATTTTATTTATCATATTTTAATATTTATTATTTATGTGCAAGTTAAGCACTGCTAACTTAAGTTCTGTGCTACTTAAATAGCGAATATATACAGTTACATTATGTTAACACAAGTAAACCGACGTCCGATAATGGATGCACCCTGTCGAACAAGCGGAAATAAACCGTCGACCGGAATCCTCGCTCGCGCTCGCGCAGAGTCGACGAAAACCCACCAACGGCTCAACCGGTTAAGGTGAATATATCGTTTTTTTACGTTTAACACAAACGACAATAACAAGGTAAATATCCGACTATTGTTTAGAAGAATAGCGTCCTGACCCGTGATTGCTTTGTTGTTGTTTCGTAATAATTAAGCCAATATACTGAAGCTAGCCGTTAGCCATGCAAGTAACACCGGTTAATATCCAAGCTAACTAGCTAGCTCAGTGGTCGGCAACCTCAAACACTCAAAGAGCCATTTGGACCCGTTTCCCACAGAAAACAAAACCACAGAACCCTTTTGGCATCTAAAATGAAGATAACACTGCATATATCGTTTTTTACCTTTATGTTATGTATAAAAAACTATAGTGTGTTGCATTTATGAAATCAGTGAACTGCTACAGAGAAAACAACATTTTATTTCTGCAAGCAACAAAACATTTTGAACTTCTGAAAAAGACACTGGGTTGAAGGTTGCTTTCAAATAAAATACTCAATGTCAGTTTGAATCCTCCACAAAGAGCCGCAGCAAAGGTTGGAAAGAGCTTCCGGTTGCCGACCGCGACTCTTAAGTTCCGATGTCGCTTCTGAAATGATTTGAAGGTTTCCGGACATTTGTCATTGTATCAAAAAAATAATATGTTTCAAACAACTGTTTGGATACACATTGTTAGATTTATTTCCGTTTCAGAATGGAGAGAGACCGGGGTTTTAACTTCAAACTGTTGGTGCCTCGTAGGGCGAACAGCGGAGAAATATCAGCCGTTAGACCTCAGGGACGAGTTGAGAGCTTTGGTGATTTCATTAATACAATGGAGGAGGTAAGTTAATAAATAAACAAGCGAACAATGAATTCAGAGAGCTAAATATTAGTAATGAAATTCACAGCTTACAGTATCATGCCAGCTCAGCAGGGACACCACCGTCCAGTTCAATGATTAGTAACTTTACAGCAGCAATGATAGTTTCAAATCTACAGCATGGACACTTTTGGGCCTTGTTTTCCTGTTGTAAGCTGAATGCATAACTTGCACCTATGGTGTATGTAGTGTAAGACGCTGTAATAATTGACTAGCTAAATGTTTTTCCTGTTTTCCATTAGAGTCACACTAAATTTCATGACAAAGAGCCAAACATGCCTTTCCCCAAAGCAAGTGTGATTGCACCAACTAAACCAACCAGACAAGGTTTTTATACACATCACTGACTACAAAATTTGAATCCAAAAAGTGTCACGTGTCAGGCACATTATTCCAGTTTCCTTTTTGTTTCTCCACTGAAGACTTACCCAAGATGAAAGTTGTGCCACCAATGGAGAAAGACGAGGTAATATTTTCACTGTACAAAAATGTGCAGCATGAACAGGATACACTTGGGCTTTGCAATCTGTTTATTGTTAAGTGTGTCAGTTTACTTCCTGTCATTGTGGCTATTCCCCCAGAATAATTATAATCCCGGTCAGCTTTATTCCAAGCTGTTTGATGAAGTTGACAAAATTAAGTACTGGAAGGTCAAAGTTGATTCTGAAGCTATACAAAAGGAAAGGAGACTCCAGGACAGCAGAAAAACAATAGAAAATCAGCGCAAAGCTATTCAGGAGTTGCAGGTGTGTGTCTCAGTGACAACTTTTTTTTTTCTTACTCTTTGTCTTGCTCTTTTTTTTTTTTATGATTTCAGACTCATTGATAACAGGAACAACATTTTCAGATTCAGTATCTGCAGTGATGTCTTTTGTGTTTGTCTTTACAGTTTGGAAATGAAAGTCTCAGCATAAAGCTGGAGGAACAGATCAGTGAAAATGATGATTTGAGAAACAAGTAGGGGTTTTGTTTTAAAAAATCCTCTCATGCTTACTAGATGTGCTCTTTAAAAACCAGATAACTATGTTGATCTGTGGGTCTGTAAATGTATTGCTTTTATAATTGTTTGTATAAAATGTTAAAATTCCATATTTTAAATACAGAAACAACACAACAAGGAACTTGTGTAATATACTCAAAGACACTTTTCAGTGGTCGGCTGAGAAAATGCATCTATGTAAGTAAATTGCTTTAAATATTCTGTTGATTTAAAAAAAAAAAAAAAGAAAGAAAGAAATACTAAGGTGCATATTTTATAACCATTCTGCATGTTTGTAGTTGAATCTGAAAGAGAAGAAACACATCACCTCTTCATGGAAAATAGTGAGAATGTTAAGGTAAAACACCACATAGTTTATATGAATATAAAGTATTTTTTAATTTTTTGATGTTTTTGGACACAAGTTAGTAAATCAAACTAGTAAGGTTTGATTGTCAGTTGACAAATTACTTTTTATGTAGAGACTCACTGCAGCATTTGAAAGCCTTCGTATTCGAGTAGAAGCTGACCAACAAGAGATGCAGAAAGGTATGTTTATTTCTTTGTATGGGTATTAGGTTTTTTTTTGTAACAGCATCTACAAATCTTAAGCTGTTTTACTCAGAAACAGGATAAAGGAAAATATCTGCCTGAAGTCATATTGGATAAATTTATGTTAGATTGACAAGTAAACAAAGGATGTCCACCAACAAGAGAACTGACCACTTTGTTTTTTCAGTGAAAGAGGGTTTGCTGCAATTTGAAAATCTTAAAGAGAAATACCAACAAGAATATAAGATGAAAGATGAAGAGGTTTGTAAAGAAAAAAAAAAGAAATCCTTTAATATCAGTTTATTCAGAACTTGTAACATGAAACATGTTTCCACAAGGTTAAACACAACTTAAGAACTGGCACTGTGTTCTCAGGTTGTAATGCTTAAGGCAAAACTCGATGAAACTCAGAAGCACTGCGTACAGCTTCAGGAGGCAACAAGTGAGATTATGGTTACATTCTGTCGTGTTCTGTTCTAATTAAGTAGAGCAGTATTAGTGCACGTTAGGATTTTGAGGATACTGAAGTATTGTATGTTTGCTGCCTTTATAGATCAACAGTGTGAAGTTCTTAGAAATTCAAAAACTGAGCAGTATTCTCTTCTTCAAAAACTGCATGCTGCTGAGCAGGGCTGTAAAGAAACTGAGGTGAGTGTGCTGAGATTCTTGTCGTTTCAACTCAAATTAAGCTCTCACGTTGTGCTGCGTCTCCTTTGATTGAAATTGTAATGTTCCCTCAAAGAAACGACTGGAAACTATTGCTGAAGCCCTGGAACAAAATAAAAAAGAGTATGCACAGATCATCCAAAGCAAAGACCTCAGCTTGCAAGAGCTCAGCACAGTTAACAGTCAGCAGACAGTGAAGCTGGAGCAGGTTCAGATGACTATTCAGAAACTAGAGAATTCACTGGCCCTGGAAATACAGAGGTATAGTTAACTCCTGAAAATTCACAGCATTTTCCAGATGAAATACTCCCTCATGTTTTTGCATTCTTATTTTGAAGGCGCAAAGAGCTTGAGGGTGAATTCATGGCAAGCAACGCTGAACTTGAAAGGAAAAATGTACTTATAGGTGAGCCTCACTGGGTGAAATGTGTAGATATTTTTTATCTGATGCTCTTTTAAGCAGAAGTTTTCCTCAACAGGAGAGACAGTAGAGCAGTTGGCAAAGAAAGATGGCCTCATCACAATCCTTGAAGAAGAACTGGTATGGTATATTATGATATTGTTAAAAAAGTGTATGCTTTTTTTAAAAATGAAACATTCATTGCAACCTGAAGACTACAGAAGATGACTTGACAATTCTATACGTTGTTGTTGTTCTTAGTTATTCTCGTAGATTAATCGTAACAACTGGACTTGCTTGAGTTCCTTGAAGATGTTTCACCTCTCATCCAAGAGGCTTCATCCGTTCTGACTGACTAGTTGGGAGTTCTTAGGATATAAGTATCTGGAACTCCCAACTAGTCACTCAGAACTGATGAAGCCTCTTGGATGAGAGGTGAACCGTCTTCAAGGAACTCAAGCAAGTCCAGTTGTTACGATTAAACTACAAGAACAACCATGACCTGGATGACTGAGAATCTTCACAGACTTGTTGTTCTTAGGATATAAAATCAAAATCTATTGAGTCCATGAAGAGTAAGATTGATGTCACTGAAGCCAGAGCGGAGGGGCTTGTAGCTGAGGTTTCACGGAAAACTGAAGAAATCCAGTTGATTAAGGTGATATAAATACTTCCTCTCAGAAAGGAAAAGCTTGTGTATTGCATAGTCAGTGCAGATTCCTTAAAATGTATTGCACAGAAGCCTTTCTTTTTCTTACATGATACAGAATGAAACAGAGATGGTCCGTGGTGAAAATACTGTTTTGAAGAAAGTTTGTGAATCTGTGGAAAAGGAACAGCAACATTTAAAGGAGAAGACAACACTGACAGAGGTATTTACACATTTTTTTATTTCTTGATCTGCTTATCATCACAAGCACACAATCTTTTTAGAAAATGCGTTTTTTAATAATATATAAATTGATAGGGGTTTAATATACACATGTGGACAAAATTGTTGGTACCCCTCGGTTAATGAAAGAAAACCCCACAATGGTCACAGAAATAAATCTGACAAAAGTAATAATAAATAAAAATTCTATGAAAATTAAGCAATGAAAATCAGACATTGCTTTTGAACCGTGGTTTAACAGAATTATTTTGAAAAATAAACTCACGAAACAGGCCTGGACAAAAATGATGGTACCCTTAACTTCATATTGTGTTGCACAACCTTTTGAGGCAATCACTGCAATCAAACGATTTCTCTAACTGTCAGTGAGACTTGTGCACCTCTCAGCAGGTATTGTGGCCCACTCCTCATGAGCAGACTGTTCCAGTTGTCTCAGGTTTGAAGGGTGCCTTCTCCAGACAGCATGTTTCAGCTCCTTCCACAGATGTTCAATCGGATTTAGATCAGAGATCATAGAAGGCCACTTCAGAATAGTCCAATGTTTTCCTCTGAGCCATTCTTGGGTGTTTTTAGCTGTGTGTGTGTTTTGGGTCATTATCCTGTTGCAAGACCCATAACCTGCGACTGAGACCAAGCTTTCTGACACTAGGCAGCACATTTCTCTCTAGAATACCTTGATAGTCTTGAGATTTCATTGTACCCGGCACAGATTCAAGACACCCTGTGCCAGATGCAGCAAAGCAGCCCTAGAACATAACAGAGCCTCTTCCATGTTTCACAGTAGGGACAGTGTTCTGTTCTTGATATGCTTCATTTTTGCGTCTGTGAACATAGAGCTGATGTGCCTTGCCAAAAAGTTCCAGTTTTGTCTCATCTGTCCATATGACATTCTTCCAGAAACTTTGTAGCTTGTCAACATGCAGTTTGGCAAATTCCAGTCTGGCTTTTTTATGATTTGTTTTCAACAATAGTGTCCTCCTTGGTCGTCTTCCATGAAGTCCACTTTGGCTCAAACAGCGACAGATGGTGCGATCTGACTCTGATGGACCTTGACCTTGGAGTTCACCTTTAATGTCTTTAGAGGTTGTTCTGGGCTCTTTTGTTACCATTCGTATTTTCCGTCTCTTCCATTTGTCATCAATTTGCCACATCCAGGGAGGCTGGCTATAGTCCTGTGGATCTTAAATTTCTGAATAATACGTGCAGCTGTAGTCACAGGAACATCAAGCTGCTTGGAGATGGTCTTATAGCCTTTACCTTTAACATGCTTGTCTATCATTTTCTTTCTAATTTCCTGAGACAACTCTCTCCTTGGCTTCCTCTGGTCCATGTTCAGTGTGGTACACACCATGTCACCAAACAGCACAGTGACTACTTGTAACCCTATAAATAGGCCGACTGACTGATTACAAGTTTGTAGACACCTGTGATGCTAATTAGAGGACACACCTTGATTGAACATGTCCCTATGGTCACATTATTTTCAGTCTTTTCTAGGGGTACCATCATTTTTGTCCAGGCCTGTTTCATGAGTTTATTTTTCAAACTAGTTCTGTTAAATCACGTTTCAAAAGCAATGTCTGATTTTCGTTGGTTTATTTTCGTAGAATTTTTATTTATTATTACTTTTGTCAGATTCAAGTTATTTTGTGTGACCATTGTAGGTTTTTCTTTCATTAACCGAGGGGTACCAACAATTTTGTCCACTAGTGTACACAACATTTAGCTTTACTGCAAATTGTGTCGTTATACTTTCAGATCAAAGTGCAGGAGCTGGAGGGCCAGCTGTTTAGTGAAATGCAGGGAAAAAAAGAATGCACCTTTCAGATGGAGCAACTGAGGAGAGACATCATGCAGCATGAGTGAGTTGTTAATAGCCAACTCCTCTTTCACATTTGCAGATTGAATATTGTTTTAGACTGTTGTAATCTGAATGCCTAATGTTTCGTTTGTGTCATCTTCAAGAGTAAAGTATGAAGAGCTATTATCGAATTTTAATGAGCTGCAGTCTGAGAAGACATCCATTCAACAACAGTTTGAAAATGGCTTCTCTAATGTGAAAGTTTTGGAGGCAAACATAAAGGTCTGAATTATCTAGTCAAATGCAATAGACCATTTTCAGTTTGCATTTGTTTATTTATTACTTGCTTTCCAATATAAAGGAAAAATTCTGAAAACTGTTTTAACTCAGGTGAGTGCGGACAAGGCAATAAAACTCACAAGAGAAATCCAAAGACTGGAAGAAGAAAACCGGTGTTTACGGTGAGTTTGCACTTCAGAGACTTAAAGAGGTTTGACAATGGAAGGTCTTTAAGATTTGGATTTTTATATTTCCATTAAATAGAGAGGAAGTAAACTCTATTAACAACACAATCCAAGGGACTCTGCAGAAGAAAACTGAAGAAATTGTAAGTATGCCTACTAAATCAGTTATGAATAAAAATAGAAGACTTGGCAAAGATCCTCTGAGCGTGTTATGTGATGAATAGTACGTGTGTTTTTTGTGTGCAGCATGAAGATCTGCAGAAAAAATTTGCGGAAAAAGAAAAACGTATCAAAAATGTGGAAGCAAAGGTGATTAACTGAAAAATTGCAAATACAGTTTTTCATCATTACTTTTGGGAACTAATGCAACATTGTTTCCTTTTTAGCTGGGCGATGTCAGAAAACAATTCCAAATCAAATTTAAAGCCCAGGCAGAATACAAAAATGAGGTTTGTCATGACTGTGAAACTGCAGACAAGCAGTACATGGAATGGCCTTGGTATCTGTTCAGGCTTGACTTGTATATTTTCTGTATAAAATGCTTACGAAACAAGAAGGTAAGGAGGTTGCGAAATCCAGTCAATTTAAAATTATGGTATTGTGAAGCTTTTTTATCTTCTACAGCTTTATAGCGATGTACAACATTTAAGTAACTAAGCATTACCCAATTTAATGTCGATGGTTTTATTTTCTTTAGATTAAGAGACTTCAGGAGGAATCTCAGAACCTGAAAAGACTCAAAAAGGACGAACATCAGAAAGTGCTTAAGGATGTTGAGTCCAAATCCAACTTGATAGCAGAGCTCGAGAATGAGGTATCTTTTATGATGAAGTTTTGTGCCAAACATTTTTTGTTCCACAGATTTTTAAAAAATATATTAAAAACATTTATGTTACAGATACAAAAGCTCGGGTCAACAGCAGCAGAGGCCATTAAGAACAAGGAAGACACAGAACTCAAGTGTCAACAGAAGATAGCAGATATGGTTGCACTGATGGAAAAACATAAGGTAAGTTTTTCATAAAGTTTTTTTTTGCTGTCTGAAAATGGTCTGTTAAAGTATGTTGCATTGGAACAAACTTCACATGTGATTACCAGAGCCAGTATGACCGGATGCTTGATGAAAAGGATGCAGAGCTTGATAAGAAAAAGACGAAAGAGATGGAGGCAGTTGCTCAAGTGAAATCACTGGTATGATGCTAAAATACGTCAACATTTGGCCACTTCATAACAATTCAACAATAGATAAGCTGTATGCTAATATTACCAAATCTAAATTCTTAAAATCAGGAGTTGGACCTCTCAAAGCATATAACAGAAAATGATCAGCTGAAGAAATTGCTGAAGACCGAAACAACAGAGAAGGTATGGCCTAGTTTGAATCTAGTTTTTGGCTTTGTATTAAAACAGGTTGTATGTTATCGTTTGAGAAATAGCTTGTTGTTTAAGAAACAATTTATCTTCAGGAAAACTTACAGAAAAAGCTAATGGATTTGAAGAAAGGAAAGTCTTCAGTGAAAACTAGTCAGCCCTCCCAAGCAAAGAGCAAGGTAAAGTCAGGTCTGCCAATAATCTACCACTAGTGGTTTGCCTTTTAATCAATTTTACTTAACTGAGAATACCTTTTTATTTTTCCAGTCAACGGTCCCAAACTATAAACAAGGAAGATGTTCTGAGACTCTAGAAGAGAGCTCTTCAAAGACTTACACGTTTGATTTCTCCAAGACCAGAAAGACTCCCTCCTCCAGGAAAGATGACGAGATTTTTCCAGTTTTTAAAAAAAATGTAAGTTTAATCTACCAAAAAGTTTTAGTCAGATAAAGCAAATAGTCTTATTTCAGGCGTAGCCTTAAGTGTTGAGCTGGAAAACATGTTGTTATACTGTACCTTACTTTCTCACATATTTGTTAATCAGATTTTAATTGCCATTTTTAGATTAAAGAAAGGTTAAGCCAAACTACAATGGACAATGTATTAGCCAACCAACTTGTAACTCTTATGCAATATTGGCCTTCTTTTACTCAGAGGGAGAGAAACACACAATTACATTGACAGATTTAGCAATGAGCACATTTGCAAAAATAGATGCAATGTGAATGTCAGTGAAGAAAGTGATACGAGTGAGGGGATGTGTAGGAAATATGGTGGGTGGTTATCAGAGGTTCATGGAAAGAATCCCGTCTGGAGGCCTAAGTTAGCAGGATTTATGGTGACTGAGAACATTTGACCCAGATGCTACTACTCAAAGTGGGAGGTCCTGCCTAATAGTTGCCTGTACATGCAAGAGACAGGAAAGCAAATCACAACCAACAGGCCAGAATAACATCACAGTGTGTATTCATGTGTAGAAGTGTTCAGTCAACAGTGAACACATGCAGTGTCAGCATGTCTCTGCTAGGTATTACTAAATGATACTCGCAAGATTTTCTGTTGCCAGCAAACAAGATTACCCGTGCGTAGCTTTGTGTGTCTTCTGTTGTTAAGGATTCTGCAACTGAATCAATCAGAACACCATGTGGAACATCATCAAACACCAAGGTAGACAACACTTTAATGTATTCATAAGCATAATATTAATGGCTGTAGTGGTAGAGATAATTGTAACATTAATCATTAATCAATATGCCTCTCAACTGTGGCACTTGTAAAAAGCCAGACTAACACTGACTTTGCATTATAGCACATTAACACTCAAGACCTGGAAACGCCAGAAAGCATTACAAAGACAGTTGGCAGCGCATCAAAGATCAAAGTAAGATACTGTGTCATTCTGATGTTTTCTAAAGTCAATAAAAATGCGAATGTATTTTGCTGGCATTTACTCCTTGAAATCCCCTGTAGTCGTATAGAGTCAGGACACCCCCTTCTGCTACAAAGGCAGCACAGTGGAGAAAAAGCACCTTTGAGCTTGACCTCAAGTCTGACAGCTCTGATCAAAGTGATATGTTGGTGAGCAGTAATGATATTGGTTGATGTTTTAGATGTTTTATTCGTTTGTTTATTTATTAACCTGGTTGATTTTGTGAACTTCTTTTTTATAATTTCTGCAAACTTGACACAATATAATTTGGTCTTTTGTTTCTTGTCTTGACAGACCTTTGCAGATGCACCTGCGTTGAATATTTCTGTTCCACACTGCAAACCCAGCATTTTCAACAAGGTAACATGATTATAGTGGTGTATCATGGAGTAATATATAATCCACGTATTTTGCATGGACAAAGACATTTGTTTGTTTTTCTCAGCTTCAGACCCCAGCCACTCATAAATCACCAGGAACATCCTTAAAGCTGGCTGCAATGAAAAGAATGAGAGATGCTGGTTGGAGTGCTGTGATTGGCTGTGACAAAAAAAGGAAAAAGGCCATTGACAAGGTCTTTGCATAAGTGGTGCTGTTGCAGCTCAGATAAGCAGTGATAGTAACACTGTTAGGTGTAGGTGTCTATATTGTTAGGTATCAAATAAATGACAAGTGTTGTTTTTTTTTTCGTAGCATGCATAGAAAGTGTTACTATAGGTTAATTAAACAGTGTCGTTAATGGGGATGATTTCAGTGTTCAAGTTGGAAGTTTTTAGCAAGAAGGGTTTCAGGTGAATAGTTACATATGAAGTGACTGTTGTGTCACCCAGAACATTCTGTTTGTTGAAGTGCTCTTATATTAAATAACTCATCTTTTTTGGTGTTCACTATAAATCTGATTCATTCTGTACAAGTTTGTGTTTGTGGTGTGGGAAAAGGTGTAGTTGTTTTACAGTATATTATTATCTCAATGTATTTTTGTTTCTTAGTATTATTACAAGTAAATGCAATGTTTAAATCAGCCAGTATTGTCCTTGTTTGAATGTGTTGCCCATCATCATCATTTTGCTTTCCTCTTCGCATGTGAAGAATTTCAATTCCACAGGGGTGAAATTACAGTCTTGAAATTAATAAATTTATTGGTGAATGATGAAAATCTGTTTTGTCCATGCCTGTCAAGTACCAAACTGTCAGAACTGTGACACTTCATTAAATGAACTCGAGTCGAAACTGAGACTGGTCTCCAGGAGCTGAAGGTACATTATCATAGATTGGATGGCCATCATAAAGTCCTCCGGAAATTACTAGTGTGTCATCGTCTGCCACAAATTCATCTGTTGGATATGAAACGGATATTTTTAACTTAATAACAAATGAAATAGCTTGCATTGATTGTATGATGGAGGACAACCACTTACCTGTGTTGTGAAGAGGTTGATGCATAAATTGGAGTTTCTGTTTGCATTTGTGAAACACAAACATAAGCAATGCCGCCATAAACACCCCAAGTACAACACTGAAGACAATAGTCATACTCTTTTCAGAAGTGTTTAGGTCCGAACCTAGAGGGACAACAAAAGAAAGGAGTTCAAACTATTGCCAGGTTAAATAAAAACATACAAGTAGTTAAATAATTGATGAAATTCTGGACCAGAACATGGAGCCTGATGCTTACCTTTCGAGGTCCTATCCACGGAACCTGAAGTTGTGAAAGATGAACTTTCAGTTGTAATCGCTGGAGTATCAGGTGACCTTGTGTTGCCTGCTGTGGTCTGGATTACTTGTGTTGTTAGTGCAGTCAGTGTTGGAGTTTGAGTGGTAGGTATTGTGGTCTCCAGTGGTGCACTGTTTGTTAGAGGAGGCAATATGGTTGTTGACTGAGGAGTCTGAGCCTGACTTGTGTTCTCAGTTGTGGCTGCCGTGGTTTTGGTGAATGTTCCACTGTCCACCGTTGTGGCGGTATTTTCTGTTACATCCTCAGTGAAGTCTGCGGTATCAGTTAGATGTGACGTTTGCACTGTAGTCACTTGTGTCAGGTTAAAGTCTGTGGTTGCTGATGGAGTTGTGATAGATAACGCATTGTTTTCTGTTGTTGGCACAGCAAAAGAAAGTGCCAGAAGGCAACAAGCCAGGGTGGCAACGCTTGTATCTATCGCCATTAGGTCCTGTACTGGAAAGAAAAGAACTGGCTGAAAAACAGATACATAACAACACTGGAAAACTCCACACCAATGACACTATTTCCCTAATCTCAGTAATATTCAATCTTAACCTTAAATCTGAATTTAAGCCCTTGACAATGTTTGCAGTGAAAAGAATACCTTAAACATGACGTCTGTGGAAGCAGGTCATATTCAAAACAGTTTTAAAGATGACATTAACATATTTGCAAGGACACACTAAACATGACGCACTAAAAAAATACATAGTGGCCTCCCAACTTGCTGGTCTATTGTAGTTCTGGGAAACATGTCTATTCTCCCTGTCAGGTGAAAGCTTCTCTAAGACCAGACACTGGTTAAGAACTAATACAGTAGATTTAAGAAATCCAACTCACCTTCCTTTGTCTGTATGAAGGAAAACATGAACTTAGTTCACTTCCCCGGTCGTGAGTGTTCCTGGAACAAGGAAAGGGTTGAGTTTCTGGCCTAGTGGCAGGTAGAAGTGGGTGGGGCAGGGCTTTGTGCACTTCCTCTATTGTTGGTTGCCAAGGAGACACAGGGCATAGTTATTACATAGTCCAAAGCTCAATCACTCCCTCTTGCTCAAATATATTTTACTTCCCGTAGTCGAGGAGGCATGTTTGCCAACTCCACAATAAACTATATTTCTTGGCTTCATTAACCTGTATTCTCTTCTGCATACAGACAACGTTTGTGTATGTGTGTTTTCAGTCTTTGTAATAAACTTGAACTTGGTACAAAATATTTATTGACAGTTAATTACCAGTTTGTAAAGGCAGTTCATCGAGAGTGCACAATTTCCATGTAAAAACAAGAAATTAATAAACAAGTAGAGTCATTGTTCTTTCAAAACATCAATGCCATCATCATACATACTGTAAAATAAACAATATTCCAGTTTGCGTCAGAATAAAATGAAGGACAATGTTCAGGTAGACCATGGAGCTAGTGTCTGGTATCAGCAAGAACATCTGAACAAAGGACAATAAAAACGAAAACAATGTTGCCGCAACACCTTTAAACAGGAAATGGGAGCAGCTCAATCAGTGAGGGGCAGGACATGTGGTGACCTTGTGCTATTTTTAAAGCCTATGGGCTACGCTAACCTAAACAATTTCTTTTCTATCACTAATTGTGAGCAAACATTTTCATTTTGTTTTCTGGCTTATTTTTCTTTTGCTGAAGTACTTGATGTAGCTACATAAAAATGCAGGTTTTTCAAGATGATTTCCTTTTAAATTGTTGTTGTTGGTTATTTATGTATTAAAATGTCTCCATGGCGGACCATTGTATTGATACAGCA